TGCATTAAACTGTTTAATCTTTAAAAATTAAGGCCCCAATCCTGCAAAATGTACTTGGGCTTCACATCTTTTGAAAGCCACACACTTCAAAACTATCAACCTTTAAGAATAAACTACGTTTTTTAAAAGTCACTATTTCTAAATGTAATAAAGAGTTTAAAAACACCAATTGAAACTTTCATAGCTGTAGTAATTATACATTTGTTTCTGGTTAAAAACCCTTCTGACAGTGAGAATTGGTCTTCCATATAAATATGGTTTAAAACTTAAAGTACAAGCCATAATTACATACATACATCCTACTACTTAACATCTATTTGGAGTCCATATTTACCTGATGTATTGCCAAACCCATGCAGTCCAGTATTTTCTGAGGCATATCCCTTAAATCAGTAGATATATTTGGAATCAATTCAATTAAATCTTTATCTTGTATCAGCTCTTTGTAATCCACAAGAATACTCCCTTTTCTTTCTATTTCATCCTACAAAACATTTCAAGTTACAAAACACATTTCATTCTGAGATAAAACAAAAGGTTTTGATTAATATTATTCCTGAGATACTGTAGTTGAAATATAGACTGAAGAAAATATATACAGATCTATTATGCTATTGTAGCAACAGTTGTGGGTGTCTTACCTTATCATAAAGTTCAATGTGACGTGTAAAAAACTTTTCAAATGCTTGAATCTTCTGGACAAATGGAGAGCTGCCATCATAAGCTAATCAGATACACATCGCATTAGTAATTAACCCAAAAATAATTATGTACATCAACACATCATATGCTTTATTTGTAGCTAGAAATTTATTATAGAAACCAATTCATCCATTAAAGACATTGATTTTAAAAAAATGGGTATTTATTTAAATAATCCTTCTTTCACATACATTTTACCCTCCATGGTTTTTGCACCTTTCTCTCAAGCATCTACAGCACAGCTACCTTCCTTCAGAGGACTGGATAGAATAATTTCTTGAGTTTATCACAATACAATTAGAGTTAATGAGACAGAAGAGAAAGGAAAGTTGGGTGTGGAAGGGATGCCAACTGTACCATCCTTGTAAGACATAGCCCTATAAGAAGATATGGTCATAGCAGGTCTTATGCCATCATGATGATGTCTTGCAGCATTTCACAGGACTGGAAGAATAGGTTCAGGTTGCCTTTCCTAGAAAGGGTGATATTTTTCCCCATTATGTTGTTTGTGCGCCAAGATTGGGGAATGTCTCAGTAATACTCCTGTTCTTCTAAGTTAAGAACTATGAGGATACATACTTTTAGCCAGGATGATGTGGGATCAATCCTCAAAGCAAAGGAGGCAAAATTTAATGGAAGGGGTATTTTAATGCTTCTGAGTTGTGGGGTGCAGATGGTTGTCCATGTGGGGGACTATCAAGAGGCAGGACCAACGGAAGGCTGATGGTGAGGCATTACAGTAATTAATTGCATCTCCAGCAGACAGCAGATTTAGTATGATTTGTGAACTGCAATCCGATTATCGAGCATCAGAATTTGTTCAATATTTTGGCTTGTGTTTAACACAGGCTGGATGAAGATGGAGCACATTTTACATTGTACAACACTCATTTCCAAGCCTTTGCCCACACAGAGATTACAAGTTGTTCATTCAAATTTGTTTTGGATATGGGGGAAGATGAGCAGTAGATAACACTTAGTCCCTGGCAACACTGGCCAGCAGTCCATGTGATTTGGAGATAGAGTCCTTGAGTGAGAGTATGTAGCTCTTTCAGGGTCTGTATACACTCCAGGATCTTCTCCGTTAGCTATTGTGGTATTTCAAAGGTGTTGTCACAGCAGCCAACTCAAAGAATCCTGGAGTGCAACCAAGACCCAGAATCACTGGCTTGGATGGAAATCACAAAGCTATTTAAGATTAATTAGAGCTTCAGATCAGCAAAGGCTAAGATTGCAAAAAAGGGCAGAAAAAAGGAGAATTCGCTCATGTCTCCCTCCATTTTTAGAAGACCAGATTATTTACATTTTTAATTACCATCTTCCTCTACTGCACCTTAAAAAAAGGTTTTAAAAAGGATCTAAGAATGAACTGGTTTCAGAGTGGTAGCCGTGTTAGTCTGTATCAGCAAAAACAAGGAGTTCTTGTGGCACCTTAGAGACTAACAAACTAACAAGGACTCCTCATTGTTGTTGTTTTTAAGAATGAACTGTAATGTCACTCATTTCTTCAACATTCTAATCTATTTTCCCTCCTATAATACACACATCTAGGGGGGAAAGGGAGGTAAAACATTTATTCTAAATTATTTAATATACCTTCAGAGAAATAAAGCTTCCAGCCTTTATATGGAGTAATCTGATCCAATGTTGACTGAATTAATCGAGGTTGTGCTGAAAAGTATGAAAATAAGATTGGTTAAAGCAGTGTAAGTACAGTAGCATCTCAAACTTTGTCAGTTTTACTTATTTACTGTTTAGAGCACTAGTAAGCAAACAGCTGCAGCTGTTGCACACAAGAGCAGGTAAACATGCACTGCTGCTTTAAAATGCTCGATCACTGTATTCTAGCATCAGAGATTAATGATAATCTGTTATGTAGAACCAGTTTACCAGACTCAGACTTTCCAGTGTTTCTTTTCCAGTCTCTTCCTCCATCTCCTCTGCCTCGCCATCTTCCTCTCCAGCCTTGAAAGCCACCTCTTCCTCGTCCAGACCCTTTACCTCTTAATTCGTTACTCATGTTACCATGTGACTGAATTTGCAAACTGTGGATTAAACTGATAGGGTAAGACTGTCAATGAAGATTTATAGTAATAATTTATGGTGATTATAATAATTTAACTAAGAGTTATTAGTATATTGTCATTTCTTTTTTTAGAAGAGAGGACCAGCCATATGTGGAACGAGTTCAGGATCCTCCCTTCTCAAAACAACAGGTGATGGAAGTACGATTGGCTACATACTCACAGTGGGTGTGAGGTTAACTTTTCAAATTCTATAAAACATTGGCTGGCTGCCCAGCCTCCTCATAACAAATAAGGATTGCAAGTGCAGAATGTATTTTTTCTCATTTATACTCTCTAGTATACCTCTACCCCGATATAACACAAATTCGGATATAACGCTGTAAATCAGCGCTCGGGGGGGGGGGGGGTGGGAGGAAGGGGGCTGCGCACTCCGGTGAATCAAAGCAAGTTTGATATAACGCGGTTTCACCTATAATGTGGTAAGATTTTTTAGCTCCAGAGGACAGCATTATATTGAGGTAGAGGTGTACTTTCAACTAGAGTTGGAATCTATCTAGGTTCTCAAATACCATAAAGATATGGATCATGTAAATGCCTTTCTCTTACGTATAGATTGGTTTGGGGGATAAAGAGCTGTGCACACACACCCAGCCCCCCCATGCAGACATAGGGAAACACTTCTGTATATTTTCTTAATGATAGGTCTTCTCCATTCTTATATGCTTTGATGAGCAGTAAATAGATAACGTTGACATTTAAAGTAACACCAGTGCCATCTGAGGTAGCATGCATTGAAATGCAAGGGGCAATTCACCCCTCAGTGCTTTTCCAGGCTCTCTGCAAACTCAGGCAGATGTATCAGATGATTACATTTGCTTCATGTTTTGAAAGTTTTCTTTGCGACCACAACAAATAGAAACTGGCTTTTTTGTTGTTGTTGTTTTGAATGAAAAATGGAACTCCAGAAAACAATTTAGAAACTGGTCTGCTCACTTCCACTCTGAACAAATCTTTTGTGACCCATCCTACACATTAAGAAACACTGATCTAAAGTCACAAGATCCTGTTATCCTAACCTAAACAGAAGACAAAGGCTAGGCATCTTTGTTCTGGACATGGACAGATAAATTCAAGTTCCTAAATCCTGTGACCGGATGCTCTTAAAGAAGGAAATAAGTGTTTGTTTACCATGAACAGGAAAGTTGTCATACAGGAACATTTAGTAACTGGTTTTCTTAGGACATGGCCGTTACTTGTGGAAGCCTTGGTCAATTCTACTCATTTAATCCCTATATTTACGCGAATGTTTTGTTAGACCTGCAAATAAAATAAATCTATTTAATTACACACACACCACTATCCCTTGTTGCATCCCACCTACAGCACGGCCAACTCTCAGTATAGCCTGGAGGATAATGATCAGATGAGAGTTTCTGAGTTTATTAGGGTAAGGCCAGCGGTAGCATAGTAACACAGGTGCTTTGTAGACAGATAGAACAGTTTTCTTCAGTCAGGAGAAATAATTCACCTCTCTGGCAGTTGCTAGGTCAAGGGAAGAATCATCCACCCCAGCTGTTAGGTTGGGGGTTAGGTGGAATTGATCACAGTGCTCAGGCTTTTTCACAGCTCCCAGCAGGGGAGCTAGATTTAGGTGCAGGCCAGGCCTCTTAGCACCCAGGCTAGCCCCCCTATTTGCCCAGGAAGAACGTGGCCCAAGTGCAGCCCCAAGGCCCCGAACCCCAGGGACAGAGCCGCCCCAGATCTGTTCAGTAAGATCCCAGCACCCAGGCCTGGCGCCGGCTGCCAAGCAGGCACTAAGCAGAGGCCTGGCACTGGTAGGCTGCTCCCAGCCCCAACGCGAGGCGGCTGCTCGCGGAGTAACCCGCGTGTCTCGCGCGGAAGCCCCGCAGCAAACGGGAGACATGCAGCGGCCCAGAACTCACCGTAGCACCTGCTGGGCCAGGCCAATTGATATACCTTAGCCCTTCTATTTTGGCGCCAGTTTTGTGTTATTTCCGCTTCCGGTACTAACACCAATCACAGGGTCGGGTTGGGTCGATGCCCCGCCCCACCACGTTGCCATGGCTACAGCAAGGGACTCCCCGCCCTCTTTCACTGGTTAAGGGAGGTCTCATCTGCCAAGGCCTAGTGCGCTGCATGTCACGTGATATTCCCTTCCCCTCCTCCCCCCCGCTCCGCCTCCCACGCCCCCGCTGAGAGAAACAACGCTGCGCCTGCGCACCCGGCCGCGGCCAATGAGAACGTAGGTCCAGGTTCGCAGCGCGTGCGCAGTGCGGGTCCCCACCGGAAGTGGCGCGAGGGCCCAGCAGGCAGGCAGCAGGTGGCCCAGGGAACCGGCAACGGGCAAGTGGGGGACGCGCGCGCGCGCGCGGGGCCATGGAAGAGAGCGCGAAACCAGGTCTGCGCATCTGCGAGGGGGACTGCGCCGTGCTCAAGCGGGACGAGGTCTTCAAGGCGGTGCTCGTGCTGAGGCGGAGGTGAGGGCGGGCCGGGCCGCGCTCCCTCACCCGGGCAGCCCTGTTCCCTGCTGCGGCTGTCCCGGCATTGGCGCCGCGGGGCGCGACTGAGCCTGGGCCGCCGCCTGGGCGAGGAGCTCCCCTCAGCGCGGCTCCGTGTCCAGCGGTCCCGGTGACACCTGACGGGGGCCGCGGCGGCTGTGCCCAGCGCCGTGCGGTGCTGGTGGGTCGGTGTGTCCATTGGCCCGTCAGTTACCGGTCTGCCCGGCCCAGCTCCTGGGTGTGACACTTCCTCCTGCTTACACCGGGGGGGAAGAGACGCAGTAAACAGAAGCACGTGTTACTGTCTGTGTCATGTAGTCAATGAAATGCATCTTTTCCCTCTTGTCCTGTGTCTGTTTCCTCTCTCTCATCCTCCCCACCCTGTATCTCTTTCTCAGCATTGTTCTCTTCCTTCTCCCTGTGTCTTGTGTTGCCCTTCCCTCAAAACGTTGCTCTATCAGTAGTGCGTTTCAAACTCATCCTATCAATCTTGCCTAGTCTCTCTTCCTTGCCCCTAGACATTTAATAGCCAGAGAGAGAGAGAGAGATCAAAAAGTGATGGTGGGGAGGTACCTATTGTTCAATGGCAGTGCACAGGTGAGAAATCAATCTCTCTCCCTGTAGCTACAGGGAAATAGTTGCCCCTCGTTTGGGGTCTGCATTCTCGTATTATATCTGATATCTTTGAAATACTTTGAATGCTCATATTTGCTCATACTGTTGCAAAGTAGAGAAGAAGCCCTCTCTCTGTCCCCTGTCCCTGGCTGCAGCAAAGGTTTGTGTCTGGGGAATTATGTGGGGGGGGGGAGGAGGTCTGCTACTCAACCTTTCTCTGCCCTAGCATCCTGGCTTTGGTGGCAGGGTACCAATAGTGAAAAAAGCTGGCCACACTTTGTTGTGTTTGCTCTGCAGCTATGAATAGTTACAGAGCCTCTGGAGCAGACTGTAGATTTAGGAATACATCACTGCATTCGTTTATATTTAGTTCACATTTAGTGTGTTATACTTTCAACCGAAAAGGCTAGAAACTTAACAGAAAGCTTCAAGTATGTAGAAGTTTTTGTTGCTCACTATGGGAAAGTCAGTTTTTCAAACTCCGGTCACTTTTCAAGTTAGGCTTGCTCTTTCAGAATTGGTCCTGAAAACCAGTGTTGTACACATAATGTAACTTTGATAGGAAAGAGAAAAAACACATCCAGGATGCAGATTTTATGTGTAATACCATTTGCCTTCTCTGTTAATGTGGATAACTGGTTAGAACAGAAGTCTGATCTGCAGGACTCCTGGAGTCTGTTTCCCATCTCTGTCATGTCTGCAGATGTGCTACTTACCTTCTTACCTTGTATTGCTATCTTGCTAATGTAGTCTACATATCACTCTTAAATTTTTAGACAAATTGTTGGAATAAGTTAGTGTTGAATTTTTAAAAATAATTACTAAAAACATCATACTTAGGTAGAGTGTTATATCATTAAGAGCAAAATCTTCATACCAAGAAGCAGGGCTGGAAAAATCCACTTGCCAAGATTGAGTAGCAGTCTTTTCTGGGCAAGTACCAAGATTTTATTTTTGTAAGTTTCTAGTTACTGTGGTTGTAAACTAGCTTTCCTAGTATGAACTGACTGCAAACCAATGTTGTGTTGAATCTGTTGAGACGGAAGTACCAGTTCATCCCTACTCTGATGCTGAGCCCAGTGCAGGGACCAAGAAAAAGGAGGCAATGCACCATCAGAAATCTGGGGCTGTCAGGGTCTGCTTTGGCTCCTGGTACAGTAGAGTAGCCTCAGGGACAGCTCTAACTAATTTGCAATTTAGCTGCAACTCTGGACTGTTGTGACCAGGATGTAGGACTACGCCCTACGCCAAACTTGCCTTCTATGCCAGGGAATCCTATTGGGGCAAGGAGGCTTCTGGTTATGTTGTTATAAGAAAAACGGCCAGGTATAAGGAGAACTTACAGTTACTTTGTGTTCACTTTATGCCTGGTACATCTATGCAAAGTGGATGAAGAGTAGCAGTTAATTGCTCGCAGAGAATCTGAAATAATCACTATGAAAGGGATAAACTCTGTCTTGCATTGGAGAGTATTGCATTTGCACAGCAACGGGATATCAGTTTTGATGGAGATACAGTGACATCTTCCTGATTGTGCAGAGAGACTGTTTCAGTGCTGTCACTGCTTTTCAGGTGGTGGGAGAAAGCCAGCTATTTCTGCTGTGGTGTACAGATGCTATTGTTTTGGTAAAGATGCCTTGGAAGAGGGGCCTCCCACCGGTTCTCTGTGGGGGAGGTGGTACAGTGGAGAATGCCACCAACAAGAGCAGGAGTTCTTAACCTTTTTCTAAGGCTCACCCGCCTATGCCCCAACAACTCTTTTTCTGCATATCCAGTAGATTAAAAACCAGGGTTGGCATTAGGGAGTAGCAAGCAGGGCAGTTGCCTGGGACCCCACACCACAGGGGGCCCGCAAAGTTAAGTTGCTCAAGCTTCGTCTTCGGCCCAGGGCAGTGGGGCTCGGGCTTCAGCCCCAGGCCCCAGTGAGTCTAACACCGGCCCTGCTCTCTGGTTTATTTTGGCGGACCTGAAACCTGCTTGCGGCCCCCACAGTGGGCCCCGGACCCTTGGTTGAGAACCACTGCCCTGGAATAGGTGTCCAAATTACTTCCATATGTGTCTTCAGCTCTTGCCATTCCAGCAGATGACTGTGGACTTGTGTGTTTTTCAAAAACTGCCAAGTAGCATGAACTCTAAAACAATAAATCTTTCTTACTGTTACACAGCACTGTTATTAAAATCTTTTGTTAAATCCCAAAAGTCATAGACCTTTTTTTTACATTCAATTTCCAGGAATCTCTTCCCCACTCTCAACCCAAATTATAAATGAAGGCACAATATATCCGTAAGAATCAATATTGCTACAGGAAATTAAATAACTTCAGCATTAAGCAGGTTATTTTATTTTGACAAACTGATAAGAGTCAGCAAATTCAAAGTCTGACTTCAGGCTTATGAATTCTGTGTAGGTATTCTGTCTTGAGTGCGTCACCATGAAGTACGAGGACACATTTATATACATTTGCCTGGCTTTTATTAAATCATAGCCTTTCTAGTATTTAACCTTGCAAAATTCTATTGATCTGTTGCCCAGGGGCAAGCGAGTATTTTAGGTAAGCAAGTAAAATACCATTAGTTTTTCATTGTCATTATTAAGATGAATACACAAGTAAATTTTGTATTTGGACCATCATATTTTTGATTATTTTTGCATAGTCAATTTAAATATTTGATTGCATTTGGAAGTACAATAATCATTGCACACTTAAAAATGTATATGAATTACAAATTCCAAGCAAAGGAGTGTTAGAATATGAAGGAATTTAACGTTTCTTTGCTTTGTGTTTTTCGATCTAAAAACTTGGTCCTATTTGTGTTTCATTGAGTTGGTAAGAGACAGTTTGGATACCAACCAATGTATGGCACAAAAACTGGTAGATATATTGCTTAAACGAATCCGTGAGGCTCTGCTCAGCATAGAGGTCCATTTGTACAGATCAGTTTGCTGGATTAGGGCCTCAAGGAGTAATTTTGTTGGTGGTGGTGGTTTTTAATCTCAGAGGTTAAACCAAAATGCAAGGTTCTCTTAATACTGTTTTAACTGTAGGGAGATGATAATTTGCACTTATTTGAGTGTGTGTTGGGAAAACTAGTCTTTCCATCTGTTTCTTAGACCTTCTCCCCAAGTCTTTGCTAAAGTCCTTTCAAAGGGACACTGCAGGATTTATAAAAAGCAACAGAGAGTTGCATCCGACAAAGTGGGCATTCACCCACGAAAGCTTATGCTATAAAACATCTGTTAGTGTAAAAGGTGCCACAGGAGACTCTGTTGCTTTTTACAGATCCAGACTAACATGGCTACCCCTCTGATGCAGGATTTATGGATTTCTAAGTCTCCATTCAGCTTTCCTTTCTGAGTGACAGGCCCCAAACTTACCCTATTTCTGCTGTATTCCTCCATTTTCATGCTGACATTTTTGACCCAATTCTTATTCTAAAACCTAATTCAAGACATACCATTACTACATCCTGCTATGTTACCTTGGCAATCAGTATGTTGTTAATACTTCGGTGAACTGAAAAAATATTTTTTTCTTTTAATCTCAATTTCTTTAGTCATTTAAGTTTGCTGCACTCCTGGGCAGTTTCATGCTAGCATGGAAGTATAGATAGTGATAATAAACACTTATTTACTACACTTAAAGGACATTATATTTGAACTTGAATTTTATAGTACTATGTTTAATTGTAATTAGGTTTTAACACCGTATCTTGGGCAAATTGATACTGAAATGATTATTTTTTATTAATTTTGTTTAAAAATTATTTCAGAAAAGTTATTTTCGAAAAGCAGTGGTTCTATCTGGATAATGCCATTGGACATATTTATGGAACGACATTTGAGGTATCTAGTGGTGGGAGCCTTCAGCCAAAGAAAAAGATGGAAGAGACTACCACAGGTATTTGATGGGATTGGCTTGTGATTGGAAAAAGACGGTGCCAAGTAAATGGCTTCCTTACTGAGAACAAAGAGAGAGAGAGTATTTTTCCATTAAGAATTTTATGAACTTTCAGTAGCCATATTTTGTCTGTCACAAGCTGCACTTTTTTGTCCTGCTGTGCTAATATTTCAATAGTACTCTGAAGAGTAAAGAGAGATTTTTAATATTGGTGTGAGAGAACTTGATCTTTAACATGGGTAAAGACATACTTTATCTTTATTTTATATATTATGATTTGCTGAATGCTTAGGAAATATAGTGTAAAGCCACTAAGCATGTGGGTTAAATCCTTAGAGGTCTGCTTTCTGTGAAATTAAAATCATACATTTCTCCAGTTAAAAAGTATTTAGAACTAGAGTATTTTACAAATTTATATCCTTTTCTTTAGAAACAAAAGAAGCAGGTACAGATAATCGTAACATAATTGACGATGGAAAGTCTCAAAAACTGACTCATGATGACATAAAGGCTTTGAAGGACAAGGGTATTAAAGGACAGGTAACATTAAGGTTTTGGTGTCATTTTTGTGCTACCCTCATGGTTGTATTTGAGTTTATGAATTGGGGCAATTTTTTAATTTTAGTAGAAATACAAACTTCAGTACTTTTTCTTTGACATTTTGTTTCACTTTTCCTTTCTACATAACTTCTCAATATGTATTTTTACAAAGACAGTATTTTCTGGAAAGTCTTTCATTTAAGTTGACAATTGTACAGTTAAAGAGGAACATGATTTGTGAACTCTTATCACATTAAGAATTGTCATGACAACAAAAGAAATAAGGGGGAAACCCAGAACATCAGAGAGAATGTATATAATGTGCACAGTATTTTCATTCAATTTTGACCTTCATTTAAATAAGGTCAGATAGATAATGCAATATTTTCATGGTACAGATGCATATTAAAGGTCATACAATGATACATAACTATCAGAGATCCAAGAAAGAGTTATGGATGTGAAAGTATGCAAATGTTAATGTGAATATAGTACCACATACTTTTAGGTTGTACCTAGAAACAGACTTCATTGATACATTTGTTTCTGTATGTATCTGCATAGATAAGTGTTAAAATTAAACATTCTCAAGATGTTAATTTTCTTTCTTGAAGAAGGAATTACCCAATTTCATACTATGGTAGCAACAGATAAAGGGATTTTAAAATGTTTAATTAATGACTTCTCCCACGTACATTTTGCGTATGTCTACACTGCAGTTAAACACACATGGCTGCCCCATGTCAGCTGACTTGGACTTGTGAGGCTATTTAATTACGGTGTAGAAATTCGAGCTCGGGCTGAAACCTGGGTCTGGGACCCTCCCCGGGGTTCCAGCCCAAACCCGAACATCTAATCTGCAATTAAACAGCCCTGCAAGCCTGGGTCAGCTGAAAAGGCCCAGTCATGGGTGTTTAATTGCAGTGTAGACATACCCTTCATTATATAAAACTTTTAAATTTCTAGTGTTTCCTTTCTAGTAGAGTTTGGGGGATCTCTTATGTTTATATCAAATAAACTTGCTATATTCTCCTTGCAAGGTCCAGTTTTATCTTCCTGTTCAAAGCAGCTGTCGTGTTGCTTGTGTGCCTGCCTTGTACAGTTATTTGTTTTGTTGTGCAACTGTTGATATCCATCAGTTCCAAAGGAATGCACTAATCAGTTTGAGAGCTTTGATAACTTCTGTTAGTTCTCATCTGTGATAGAAGACATCTCATGTGGATAATTGCTTTCCTGTGTATCATCAGCATCTCTGTGCCATATCTGTGCTATATTGTTAATACAGTTTATTAGAATATTCTACTATGGGGTGACTGATTTCTGAAGTATAGCCATAGACTTCATTTCGTTTGTGATGTTAGCTTCCATAGACAGTGTTCCTTCATGAAATTGCAGTTGAAGTGGTAGAAAGTACATAACTATTTGTTAGCTGCATTTTCTTGTGTCAAAGTTTTCATAGACTCTCCTAAATTAAAGATGGAAAAGGCTTGTTCCTTGAGGGGACAAGATTTTTCAACAGTGATCAGCACCTTCAGTTGGGACCAGATTTTCAGAAGAACTCAGCACCCTGTTAGACAGCTAAATGAAGCGTCAATTATCTGGCATTGTTCTCAATGGAAGCTGTTGAGTACTTCTGGAAAAACTGGCCACTTAATTTAGATGCCCAATACAGAGCAGAGTTCTTCTGAAAATGTGAACACTTTATTGTAGGTTGGGCTGGTGGTAGAATGGCACAGATTGTCATGTACACTGGAAGAAGAACACTGCTTCATGTTTCACAGAATTATAGCGTTAGTGATTGGAAAAAGCCATCTAGCCAATTTCTTGTTCCTGGCAGTTTTAATTTTCTTCCCTGGTGTTATGTCTAGATGTTTAAATGTCTGTAGGAAGCAGGCTTCCCCCATTTCCTTTGGTAGACTTTCTTTAGTATAGATTTGAGTGGCACGTGTATGTGTTACTTGAAATTAGAACACAGTTCTGTTGTCACTTCAGAAAATGTTTAAAAACAAATTGCCCAAACTCCCTAAATTAATCCTTCTCCTGCTACCTCCATCATCCAAAATACATTAAAGAGACACTATTAATTTGAAATCTAGTTAATTTTTTAAAAATGAGTTAAAAGTAGTTTCAAATACTATACATGCCCCTGAGATTCCCTGCCAATTTTAGTGATTTTTGTTACATTTTCCTATTTTAAAAATATTTTTCTGTTCTCTGTAACTTTGCATGTGACTCATACAGAGGAAACTGACTCTACAGGGAAAACTATGAAATTGACTATAAACAAAGTGTTATCAATTGCCTAAAGTAAACAATCTGAAAATATGGTGACTCTTTACTATTTCAGTTACAATGTTCTTAGGTGGTGTTATAATTGTAGATTGCCATATATTTACATTGCGGTAGCACTTGTCAAGATCAGTGCTTCATTTTGCTAGGCATTATACACACACCCTGAAAAGACAATGCCTGCACCAAAGAACAACATTCTCACACTGTAATTTTTAAGCTGCCATTATTTCTTGAAAGAATGTCTCTCATTTGTGCTGTTTTGTTTTGTTTTTTAATTCCCATTTGCAATTACATAGTACTGTTGAAAGAGACAGATGTTTTATGTGCTCCAATAATGAGCAGGAATTTACCATGCAAACTTTCATTGATGTTAATGGCAACTGTATACATAAATCTTTAGTGAGTGAGAAATGTTTATGTTAACGCCTCCCTTAAAATCTATGCTGTGTGTGAAATAAGTGGGGAAATAACTGGATACAATAAAAATAATCTTTAATCTCTCTCTTTCAAGGAAATAGTTCAACAATTAATAGAGAACAGTACAACGTTTCGAGGCAAAACAGAATTTGCCCAAGATAAGTACATAAAGAAGAAGAAGAAAAAGTAAGTTAAGTTCACAAAACAGGGAAGTTCAGTAGTTTTCTAACTTGTAGAGCTTTAAGAATATTACTGTGCTTTTAATTACAGATATGAGGCAGTTATTACAATTGTAAAGCCATCTACCCGCATTCTTTCGACAATGTACTATGCAAGGGAACCTGGGAAAATCAAGTAAGTATATTTTAAAAAGTAAATTCTTAAAGTATGATTGGAAACATGATTTTTTTTAAAGTTATGAATTAAAAATGATGAATTATACATTTATTTTTTCCTGTCAATACAAAATTTCTAAATAATGAAAAATAATTGAGGAACTAATATCCCCTTGGACTGGGTAAAAAAAGTAAAACATCTATATAAGACCAATTGTACCTCTATCTCATCACATAAATCACCTCAGCTGCTGCTGAACACATTCTGGTGAGCTGCCAGTTCCCACTTTCTGGTCAGATAGGATTCTGCCTGTGTATTGTGGATCAGCAGCCAAGAAATGGGGCCACCTAGCAGAAATAAAGAAGGAAAAAGTAAAATAAATAAATACTTGTTTTTTCAAAATTTAAAAAACATTATTATTACTTTCCAGAACCTCCCAAATTTTAAAAATGCAGTTGGGGTTGAAAACAAACCAAGCCACATTTGACTTAATTTAAATATATAATGGAATAATTACCTATTGGTGGGTGGGGGTGGGGGTGTGGGTGGGTGGGTGGGGGTGTGTGTGTGTGTATGTATGTATGTGTGTATGTGTGTATACATATATATATATATATATATATATATATATAGTTTTGTTTTTTGCTCCCAACCTGGACTTATTCATTGTTTTTTAATCATACAAAGTAGCTATAAGATATTGAGACTGTTGATTAGACTGCTGCTTATTATGTTAGCCATGATTGTTTAATTTTTATCTTTTCTTTCCCGTCCATTCTTTCTTTCATTTATTTTATTCATCTGTTAACTCCTGTCATGTTGTAAGCTCTTTCGGGCTCTAGCTAACTTTCTTATTACATGTATACAGCACTGCGCACAATGGGGCCTTAATTAATAATAGGGGCCTGTAGGTTCTACTGCTCCAGAGAGAGGGAATTGAAAATATTATAAAAATAATTACAGTGTGCATTATTGGGAATAAAATTGCTTTTAAAGACACTTCATGTCCTTACAAAACTGACTCTAAGGTGTTTCACAAAATTATACAGGAACTTGCACTCTGGCTGGTGCACATTTAGATCGGTGCGTCAGAACATTCACCGTTTCATCTCCTACCCTTCAGTACTTCCACTGAACACTCTTTTGTATACTAAATGCCTCACTGCGTCTAACTGCATGTTTGTTTTGTTTTCAGTGTATCTTGATTAACAGACTTAGTTGTATTCTACTGCACTCTGACCCTCAATGTCATTGATCTAGTTCCTGAACAATTCCTTTTTTAACTTGCCTCTTGCTGATGACAGCTTTATGGGCTGATGCACAATGCTTTTAAGTCTAGGCAAAGCTGTTTAGCACTGAAAGTAAAAGAACAATTTCTTTTCTAGCCATTTGCGATATGATACTCTAGCTCAAATGTTGACTTTGGGAAATATCCGAGCTGGCAACAAAATGATTGTGATGGAAACTTGTGCGGGCTTGGTTCTGGGTGCCATAATGGAGCGAATGGGAGGTAAGTAGTACAGCGGCTCTAGTGAAGAACAAAACTGATGCTTGTTTGAAACTGAGACAATAAATGTTTATTTACAGTACTTTACAACACTTTATCTTAGTTTAAAACAATGCTTAATGTTTTGCTTGTATTTTCTGTGGTATTTAAAGGGACAGTGTCAAATTGAAAATCACATTTCAGTTTGAAAAGTTTGTACTTAAGGTTACTGCAATTGAAAGAACATAGAAAAATATATTCTCTTTTCATTTTGTTTACTTTGTACATGTCACAGCACTTTGTCTATAGTCCGTCTCAATGTTGTGTTGATGGTCCATTTCAGTTCCGTCTCATGCATCACTCTCAAAGATGGCTTGGGAGCCCACGTGCAAACTCTCCCTCTTGCAGGACCTGGGGAAAATTACCAATAACAGCAGCAGTAAAACTGCAATTTGAGAGGCAGCAGTGGGCCCCCAAGTGTGTAGGAGATGTTTTTGGGCTTGCCCACCCTGCCAGATTGAAAAAGACCTTTATAAATATCAGCAGGGAAGCCAGGGGGAAAAACCTCCTATTTTATACAATAACTAAATAGCATGTGCAGAATTTATTTTCTAAGGGAGTGCTATCAAACTTGATTTTTATTTAAAAAATTCAACTTGACAGTTTCTTATTAATAAAGTGAAGTGTTAGTAAATGGGACATGTATGTAATGGGCTGTGTGTTTATCATCTGATATGCCCACACCTGGTGTTTGTTGAGGCACAAGTTGCAGCATAATGGCTTAGTACTCAGGGTTCCTGTGTATTAGCTGACAAACACACACCACATTGTTAGGTTTATTTTAATGTTTTGACAGCCTGTTTTTCAATTCCCATAGAGCTGCTAATTTGTCATGGCATTTTTTAAATAAAAAATCACAGAGCAGTCCAGGTAAATGTAGTAGAAGTCGTGGGTTCCTAAACTAACTGTGATTGCTCCCTGATTTTTTATTTAAAAAGTTCTCCTCATGCTTTGGAGTGGGCACCGACCACATGTAGCAGCACCACCGTCCGCCCCCAGCTCGCCAACCCTAATCCCACCCCGGTCGCGTGGGAGGCCTGGAGAGAGAGAGCCTGCCCCGTGCTCACCTGGCAGTGGCCGCTCCTGTGGCTCATGTCCCTCAGGGCTAGGCCCGGTTCCCTGCTCTGGGCATTGAGACCTGGTGCGCAGGGAGGGTTGCAGCGCAATGCAGCTCAGCTTTAGTCCCTCTCATCATGACAGAGGGTCCAGCATGCCAAATTGCCATGGTGCTGCGACCCCACGTGCCAAGTTGCAACATCTGAAGCAGGGAGGTGGGCCCAGACCCACTGGACAGGCACCGCTACTGCCAGGTGAGTCATGGCCACAGGAAAAAGATCACTGACCAATGGGAATCACGCTATCCATGACTTTTCTCCCACCATTACAAACCTGCAGCCCTAGCCAGTGACTTTGGAGTAGTAGGGTTACTCTCTGAAGCAGAGGGACGGAGGTAGTAATTCCAAATTAATTATAAACATTTGATAAATGTTTGTCTGTGGTGGAGTAACCTTGATGTTGAAGAGGCTGTATATCTCACTGCATTTTCGAATGTCCTTTAAACTGGGCAGATTATACCTTTCAACCAAACCATTTGATAGATATAAACAAAAAAAAGTAGCCAAAGGAAATTTTCAGTCTTCTTTTAATAGTTTCCAACTTTTTTATAATGCCAATGTCATTAGTGAGTTTCTGCTGCTTACTGATCACATACCATGGGGGAATACAGCTAAACTTAAATTACTCCCGAGGCCATTCTGTGCCAAAAAATAAATTCTGCACACAATATTTTAAAATTCTGCAAATTTTGTCAATAAATGTGGAGGCTCTACCATGGCATTGGGGAGCACTCTGCAGCCTCCCCCCGGGGCTTGTGGAGGTGGGAGGTTTCTGCCCCACAGTGATTTACCTCTCTGCCGGCTGTACTGGGCACCTGAAACATACAGCTGGAGAGGGTTGCATGACCGCTCTTGTGGCTTCCCTTTTCTTCCCTGTCAGAAAGTAATTTTTCTGCTGGGAAGCAAAGAATTCTGTAGAGGACATAAATTCTGCACATGCATAGTGGCTCAGAATTCCCCCAGGAGTATTAAATGCTTGCTTAACAAATACATATGGTCTTAAAGGGGTACATTGTGCCTTCTGAATTGTAACCTATTACCCATTCGGCAGGGTACTCCCCATCTTTCCTGGCAGTCAAAAACTGCTTACACGTTAAGTTTTGCAAAGGTTACATTAACATTAAACAGCTTATGTCTATATATCTAAATTGAGATTTGAATCCAGACCTGCAGTGATGATACTGTCAATAGCATTATGGTAAATCTGGTTAGATAGTGAGCTCCTTGAGGGCACTAGATTCTGTCATTGATTACTTACAAATTTGCTTTTATTTATTTTGTATTTAAAGGTTATGGATCCGTTATTCAAATGTATCCAGGAGGGGGACCTGTTAGAGCAGCCACAAGTTGTTTTGGATTTCCAGAATCTTTTTTCAACACTCTTTATGAATTCCCTCTCAGCAAAGTGGACAGTCTTGTCTCTGGAACATTTTCTTCTGAGACTTTGCCTTCAGAACCTGAATATAATGTTCCAGTAGAAGAAGAAAGCAATGGGTCACTCGATGAGAAGCAGACTTTGATACAGGAAACAGAAGAGGAATCCAGTACTGAAGCAGTTATGGAGAGCAATGAAACAGAAGAGCAAGAAACAATGGACCTTGCTGCTGAAGATACAGAATATAAAGAGAGCAAAGAAAAGGGAAATAAAGAAAATGTAAGAGTGTGTCTTTTACTAGCTTTCCCTGGAGCCACTGTAACTATAGACAAGCAAACTGTATTGTAACTTGGAAAAGATTAACCAAAATGTTAATGAAACTTTTTAATAGTCCTCAAAGTGCAGTTTTAAACTATATAGTGACTGGGAGGGAAAAAAAGCAGGAGAAAAGTATTTTACAATAATATATTTTGGTTTAAAACCTGTTGTCCCCTGAATCAGGACCATCAAAATAGACTCCCCTTGTATCCATCAAAATGGAGCTTCGGAGCGTTGTATTATTTTGTAAATTAAAGAGCACAAAGCTGCATAAAGTAAAACCGTCTTTATGTTTGTGTGAACTCTCTGATGTATCCTTGCCATTTAAAGTGTTATTTCTGTTCTTGTATGCAAAGATTCGGGAAAAACAAAGAAAACAACAAGAAAGGAGGAGAAAACTGGTGGAAACTGCTGCTTTGTTGGAAGAGAAAAATGCTGATGGGTGAGTTTGTTGCAGACCATACTTTTATTCTTAATATAAATATTTGGAAGGACGTAGCTTTTTTGCTCTGGAATAAAAGTGAACTATGCTGCTTGAAAACATGCATCAGTTTATATGGAATAGCACAATTACTCAGTGTGTGGTGTCTTATTCATCTTATCCCTCTGCCTTCACTTTCTTAAAAAATGACAACTGCTTCTTAACACTGAAGTATTTGCTAGGAAAAATAGTTTCCCAGAAATGTGTTATGATTCTAGGTGGGGAAGACAATGGGCCACAAAGCAGTGTATTAAGATATGGTCTACACTATGAAAAAGTTTCAGATTCTCGGTTCTAGAGGTAATAATTCTCACTAAATATCCGTATTCTTTGCAGGAAGGGAGCAGGTATATTTCGGATTTGAAGTTGGTGATTTCAGTTAAAATCGTGGGTTTCAATTGGATAAATTAGATCATCAGTTTGCTAAGTTGTAGCTACTCCATTCAGACAACATCATTTCTCTTCTACATGTGAAACACTTTTTTTTCTTCATTTAATCCGTATTTGTCGGAATTGGTTGCACCAAACTGGTAATTATGTAAAGACTTTGTATAAAAAGGTGATAGCAAATGTGATTCTAGAAACCCAAAGCCAGTACAGTATACATGCTTCCTACAAAAGGCCATTTTTTCATGCTAACCTTTACAAGTGTGAATCTTTAAGTGACTCAGGTTGGGTTAGTTTAATTGTAACTTCACAACACTGATATTCATTTTTTTCATGCTAAAAGCACTTACAGATAAGGAAGACCTAACTCCAAAAATTATTTATTCTGAAGCTTATTTGGTTTCTTTATGCTACTCATACTTACAGAGATCGTACTGAGGATATGTCTGAAATACTTGCAGGTATTTAAAACATCATGATGGAGCAGAAGGGAGTTTGTGTGGTGCATAGTGACTGGTTTGGTTTTATAAAGAAACAACACTTTTTCATGTTTTGCTGTGTAATAAATATTCTAGTGTGTTTTTCACTAGGTGCCATGAGTTGGCTGCCATTACAAAGCACTTGTATTTTTTATGAAGAATCAGATGTAGATAATAATGTTTCCACTCTTGTTTCTGTTCTAAAACAATCAGAATGACAGAAGGGCAGTAAAAAGAATTTCTTATTTATTTGCTGACAGTGTGATCTACAGTGCCTGCATATGATGCGTTATTAAACAGGCTGAATAGGGCCTTTTACTACTGTCCACCTTGTGCACTTACGAATAAATGTATTTGACTATATATGAGGGTCTGGTGAGGATTAGAGTACCAATTTTTGCTATTGAATTTTTCTGCAGTGCGGAGTACTTACTGTAAACCCTCTTCCATTGCTGAGCATCTTCAGGTATAAGGAGTCACATTTATGGTTACCATCTCTTGTTTCCTTTTGTACTCTTTCCAGACCATATTGGGTTTTTTAGGATTTTTACTTAAAAGGTCATTCAAAATAGTCAATGAAATACAGCTACCATTTCAATCATTTGGGTATTTTTTTCTTCCTCCTCTGACACTTATGACAATGGCTGGTAATAACGTGTTATACTTTAGGGACCAGCTTCTTAAGAATTGTCTGGGGGTCACTAGGGAGTGTTTTGGTAGGAGGAAACTGAACATTTCTGGCTTCTGAGAGGCAAACCTGTTCCTGGAAACTTGCATAGAGAGAATTCCAAATGGCTCTTCCAGGGACACATTTCTTCCTTTAGCCTGCCCTGCCTCTACATCCCTCAGGCTGAGAACAGTGAAGTGGATGGTGGCATACCTTGGGGAAGTAGGCTGGGGCAGAAATAATCTGGCATACAATCCAGAGTGGCTCAAGTCATCTTGTCAGTACAGCATGTGAGTGGAAGCAGGCAGGGAGCTTGGAACTCTTTCTGCTATCAGTGGGGTATGGTCTTGTCATAGGAAGCAAGGGAGGGCTAGAAAGGTAGAAGTTATCTCACTTTTGAGTTAGAAGGGAAGGACTCAAGGCTTCTTGCTGGAGAAGAAGAAAGATGGGAGTCTGGTAAACTCAGCACCCGTCTTTGGATGAGTTTGCTCTTCTCGGGGGTTGTAATCATAAACTGTGTTCTGGATTTACTATTCAAAGTGAATGAATTAATTTTTATTCAGTTCAATTTTTCAGCAATATGCTTCCCCCCCCTAGTTTTTTGCTTGTCTGTGATCATAATGCTATGTTTGTACTGGGGTCCATCTCTCTAATTCCATTCAGGAGATTTTAACCCCATTTCATAGGATGGAATGAAAGCGTTCTGAGGTGTTTTTAATAGAAGAAAGTGGTAAGCAGAAATATCATTAGGTCTACAAATGTTATGAAAAATAGAAGTTAGTTGTATCTCACGTATAATGTATTTCCAGAATTAGTCCACCACATTAATCTTGAGGCAGGCCAGATTGCCTGGTGGCACCAATATATGGCGCTGTATGAAAGAAGAAAACAAAATTTGATTATTGGACTTTACCTCATCTTACGCTTATCTTCCTGTTGTCTATCACAGTCCCTCACAGTATTTACGCAGCACTCCAAACTCTACTAGATAAGGCTTGGGAATCTTGTTTTTAAGTCATGCTTGGTTAATTCATGAACTGATGGGTTTCCAAGGGAATTCAGCCAGCCTTTGCATCTGAAAGGAAGTCCTTGTTCTGTGTAGCTTCTCAGCAGAGCAGAAGGGCTTATGGGCTGGAAAGTAGTAGTGATCTCCCCCCATTTTGGCTTCGTTTTTAGTGACCTGGGCATGTGCATCAAAATAACTGTCCCTTCCCCATGTTGGGTAACCTTGACTCTCTCCAGTATTGCAATCTACTGGAGAACAAGTTAATGAGTTAGAACTTTAATGTAGTGTTTGGAAATTAGAAGAAGAGCTTATATAGACGTCTCCCTAAGCATAGTTACCAGAAGATGTTAACAGTAGCTTGAAGTACGGTTTAGCGGGGTAACTTTTTTAATTAAAACTTTGGAAACCGGTAAGTGTAAATTGTATCATGCTGTACAATGGACTATTAAATGAGGGTTGAAAGAGATAGTGAATGTGAAGCTATTAAATAGGCAATGACTTGATTTCTTTTTTCAACAGCTCAGTGCGATGTGATCTTGAATCACAAACGTGAATATAAGGATTAGGTTCTAAACCTTTTTAGATAAACAATTACATTTAAATAGAATTTGCCTGGTTTAAAGACTATCAGGTGAAAATGCATTGAAATAATAAGCCACAGCCAATGGTTAATGGTAAAAATGTAACAAGTGAATTTGGAACTAGATCTCTGTTTTATCAAATCATAATGAAGGCAGTTTGGAGAAAGTTGGATGTGGCAAAAAACTCCAAGGAAAGACATTATGACAGGCATAGAGACTTTTGTATATGATAAAAAGGATGTATTAACGAGCAAACTTAGTACACTTTTGTCCACATTGCACAATGCTGAAGAAGCAAAGAAAGGAAGCATTTTAATTCTGTAGCTCATTGGGGTCATTGTGGGTCTTTAAATTGTTGCATAGTGACACAGGCCCTTCTGTGATGCCATTGGTATGTTACTTTAATTTATTTTATTTATGAAGATTACTTATAAAGCAGTGGATTATTTAAATCAGCAAGTCATGAACCCCGATGTAAATAATTGATTTTAATCTTGTTTTGCTATGTACGTTGAACCTTTCTTTAGGAAAATAACTTTCTCATTGGTTGATACAACCATTAAAACATGTCAATTTGCAACCAAATATAGCCTTTACATTAAATTTGGCACTTTTTGTTAACCAGGAGGATACACTATATTTATACTTGGTTATTTAAGCAGTTATACAGCTTAACATAGATTTATTCAGATTCTTAATTTTTTAAAGAAAATGTATGTTAGAAAATGGTGAATGACATTTCTTATTTACTTGATGATGATTTTGTGTATGGATTTATGTCAGGTTACATTTGGATCGAAACTTGAATTGAATAAAAAGTATACAAAAACCTAGCATTTTAAAAAATTTATTAGCTAAATGAAACTAACCATCTGGTCATCAAAGAAGATATTAAAACCAATGCCCTTAATAGCTATAAAATATTAATAAACTGGAAATACACTTTTGATTCTTTGTTTCTAGAGAACTGCATTATAATAATTAAAAGTGTATTTTATGTGTTTAATGCAGTCAGATGACTGATGGTTTTTAACAAGTCTCTTGTCCCTTTGGAAGCAGAAAACTAACCTGTAAAATTTCTGTTACAGTTTAATTGTAGCCAGCAGATTCCATCCAACTCCTTTGTTACTGTCTTTATTGGAATTTGTTGCTCCATCCAGACCTTTTGTTGTCTATTGCCAATATAAAGAGGTAAATCTATATATGTTATAGTTATTGTTGTATTTTAAGTTTGAGAGAAGTTTAGTTAACTCATTTTTTTTCTTCCAGCCATTATTAGAATGTTACACAAAGCTGAGAGAAAAAGGTGGCGTTATTAACCTCAAACTCTCTGAAACCTGGCTACGAAATTATCAGGTAAGAGCTGCAGGGAGTGCCTATATGTCAGGGAAATGCAATCTTGTAGAAAATAATGTCAAATACTCAACTGCTCATGAATTGGTAGTTTTATCCAAACTGTTATCTCCTTGTGCCTAATTCCTGCAGTGTTCGGAGGATAACCTAAATAGCAAAGGACATGAAGGGCAATAAGAAGAGGTTCTGTACATTAGGAGTAAGGGAAGGACAAAGGAAAATGTAGGTCCACTACATAGCAGAGAAGGAGAGCTAAAAACAGATGACAGCAAGAAGGATGATGTGTTTAATGCCTATTTTGCTTCCGTCTTCACACTAAAAAGGTTATTTGTGACCATAGGCGTAACACGATTAATATTATATATTATTATACTGTTAACAACAGCTTCAAGAATATTTAGGTGTGTTAGATATACTCAAATTGGCAGGACCTGATGGAATTTACGTTAGGGTACTTAAGGAACTAGCTGAAGCAGTCTCAGAACCATTAGTGATTGCCTTCAAGAACTCCTGAAGGACAGGTCAGATCCCAGAGGACTGGAGCAGGGCAAACATAGTGTATCTTTTAAAAGGGTAACAAAAAAGACCCGGGGAATTATAGATCAGTTTGCCTAACTTCGATAACTGGAAAGCTAGTAAAACAAATTATTGAACAATCAGTTTGTGAGCACCTATGGGATAATAGGAAATAGCCAGCATGGATTTGTCAAGAACAAATCATGGCTAACTAACCTAATTTCCTTCTTTGACAGGGTTACTGACTTAGTGCCTGGGGGAAAGCTGTAGATTTTAGTAAGGCTTTTGACACAGTCATACACGACATTCCCATAAGCAAACTAGGGAAATGTGGTGTAGATTAAATTACTATAATGTGGGTATACAACTTGTTGCAAAACTGTACTCAAGGAGTAATCAGTGGGGTTCACTGTCAAACTGGGAAGACCTATCTAGTGGGGTCCCAGAGAGGTCTGTCCTGGATTCCGTACTATCAATATTTGCATTAATGACTTGGATAAAGGAGTGGAGAGGATGGTTATAAAATTTCTGGATGACACCAAGCTAGGAGGGGTTGAAATCACTTCGAGGGATAGGATTAGAATTCAAAACAATCTTGATGAATTGGTCTGAAATCAACAAGATGAAATTCAGTAAAGACAAGTGCAAAGTTCTACTTAGGAAGGAAAAATCAAGCGCACAACTAAAAAGTGGGGAATAACTGGCGAGGCAATACCACAGAAAAGAATCTCAGGATTAAAGTGGGTCACAAACGGAATATCAGCCAACAGTGTGATGCACTTGCGAAAAAGGCAAATATCATTCTGGGATGTATTAACAGGAGTGTTGTATTTAAGACACAGGAAATAATTGTCCCAATTTATTCAGCACCGGTGAGGCCTCATCTGGATATTGCGCCAATTCTGGACACCACATTTTAAGAAAGATGTGGACAAATTAGAGAGTCCAGAGAAGAGCAATACAAATAATAAGGTTTAGAAACCTGATCTATGAGGAAAGGTTTAAAAAAAAAAACATGTTTAGTCTTAAGAAAAGAAGACTGAGGGGGAACCTTATAAATCTTCAAATATGTTAAGGGCTGTTGTAAAGAGGACAGTGATCAGTTGTTCTACCATCAGTGGAGTTGGGGAACAAGAAATAATTGGCTTAATCTTCAGGAAGGAAGATTTAGATTTGATTATTGGGGGGAAATGGTGTAACTAGAAGGATATTTAAATAAGAGAATAGGTTACCAAATGAGGTTGTGGAATCCAGGTCATTGAAGGTTTTTAAGAACAGGTTAGACAAATACCTGTCAGGGATGACCTAGGTATGCTTGATCCTGTCTCAGCATGGAGGGATGGACTAGAATACCTCTTGAAATCCCTTTCAGCTCTACATATCTATGAGAACATCTAAAGTCAGCTTTTTGGGTACTGTCATATATGGCACATCTCCCAAAATAAAAGTAGTAACAAGACTCATGTCTGTACCTGAACGGTGAAAACTGGTTCTAAGCAAGAAAAACCTCTGTCTGGCTTCTTTTATTTTTCTTTTTTCCTGTTGAGAAAAAGGGGGATGAGTACAAATCTGAGGTTTCTCTTGGTCTTAAATCAGCAGAAACACCTTTTTGATTTATAAGCAGATTGTCCATCTGTTAAGGAGAATCCTGCATTTTATTGCCTCTCTCCATCTGTAGGTTAACTGCAGTCAATGAAGAATTTCTGTACGTTGGTTTGAGGAAATCTAAGGATGATTTAAACTGTGGAAATAGAGAAAGAACTGACAGGAATTTGAAGGGGATTTCATATTCTTATGTGAGCAAGAGTCAGGCTAGCTGTAACCCTAATAATGCGAGACTTGTAGAAGCGAGGATTGTGTGAGGCGAGTGGGAAAGAACTGTGTGAGAAGTTGTTGTGACCTTGAGTTAGATAAGTATGGAATGTAGACTATAGTTTAGAATGGTGAGAAAAATAAGATATCAGGATGACCTATGTATAAACAGAATGCATCTGTTGCTCATTATTGTATGTAACAAAAAGTATAAATGCTTTCTGTAATTGTTTACCTGTTGAGAGACCTGTTTAGCTCTCTCCCTCCACGCAATTGCTAGAGATAATAAAGTATCTGATTTGCTGCACCCAACCTGAGAGTGAGTACTCTGTTTTTCTCCGACAAAACTATCAAAGTAGAAATATGATAAATATCTGATAATGAGGATTTTTTTTCACACTGAAATTTTTTTATTTGGTAAACTTAGCATCTCTGTTAAAGCTTCGTACCACTCCGGTAATTCACTGATGATGGAGATGATAGAACTGGAAACTAGCAATAGGCAGACACTGTCGTGTTTACTATTTAAGTAATATGGGGTGTTGGACCAGTGGGGCTTTTGGGTAGTTTTTGGAAAGGTCCAGTGATTGGGAATACAAAAGAACCTGTGATGCTTTCAGTAATTTTTTAGCTTCACATACCTAGGTGTATGAATTTATAACTTCTATGGTAATTGCATGACAAAACTGTTTTTCACCAGTGGTCACCATGGCAAACGTACAGCCCTATGTATTTCTATTCCCAGAGTCTGGAAAAATGAGTTTCAGCCCTCCAAAGGATTAAATATCATTGCATAATACAAATGCACTTCTCAGACCTCCTTTGGGTTTTAAAAGATTCTAGTCTCTCAAAGTTTTGTCCAAATTCCCTTTTTTTTTTTTAACATGCTCACACAGAAAATGACTCCTCACAGCAAATGTTTTTCTTCTTTGTGAAGGTCTTGCCAGATCGCAGCCATCCAAAACTGATGATGAGTGGAGGTGGGGGATACCTTCTATCAGGTATCACTGTCACCGTGGAGAAGGTCCAATCTGATGCCAGCAGTTTAGAAGCACAGAAAATTGAAGAGCCAACGTCTAAAAAGCGCAAACTTCAAGAGCTTCATTGTTAACATCTGAAGAATTGATGTACTTTTAGTTCTCAGGAGTCTTACAATTAGTAATGTAACTAATGTACTTTCCGTGCTCTTGACAACAAAGAAAAATGTACCTGTTACACATCTGCCAACAGAAGCAGAGTTGTACTGTAGAGAAAATTTTGTCCATTCTCTCTGGTAACAACATGACAGGAAGGAGGAGAGAAATTTTAGAGGCAACTTTGTGTCAGAATATCTTTGTTGACATAATCAAGCAACAGACACGTTAACAATTCAGTAGCTTCAGAAACACTTTCTGATGATCACATTGAGAGAAACTATTGGGTGAGATTCATGGATTAATGAAACCATTTTATTTGGTTGTTGCAGACATGACTAAGACTCTGAAGTCCTTTACAAAGGTAGGGTTTGAATTAACATACCTAATTTAGCTTCTTGTTTTACAGCTACAGCAGATTAAAATATTTTGTACAGCAATCTGCTTCCCTTCTCAAATGCAGAACCCTGCCATTTTAAGTGATTTTTTTTAACTAATCCGAAAGAATGCAGCAAAATCATGCACTTTTATTTGTAATGGGAAAATGAAAAGAAAGAGAAGGATATTGAAACCAAATCATCACGTCTTGGCCTCTTGTTCCTGAAAGGAAGAAATGCAAAACATCAGGTGTATGTTTGTAAATTAAAATACCAGATGTTTAAAATGTTTCTATTAGTATTGCATATTTTCTTTTTTTGAAAGCTGGATTTGTATTGGTTTTTATTCTTTTTAATGTGACAAATTTGAAATTTTCCTTATTTATTTTACTGTTTTGTCTCTATTATGTGTCTAGAATTTTTGTTAATTTGCAAAACACTTCACATTTGCCATTTCAATTAAACTCTCAAGAATTTTCTTCTAAAAAGAGACACATTTTGTTTTATTTTCTTCTTTTGGGGAGAAAAAGCTTTTGGGTGGGGGCAGGGGAGGTTGATACAAAACCACCCAAATCCTGTATCAGGATCCAGTAGCGTGAACTGCTCGACCCATGTGTCTCCTACTGGAATCAGCAGGCTTCTGCTTGATTCCAGGGCTCCAGATCCTAATGGAGAATCAGCGCTCAGGGATGGAAGCTACAGTATATTTCAGGTGTGTATTTTAATAAAATATTTAGATTACATTAAAATGTAAAGTGTTGCTCACCATTAGACAAGGTTAACACTTTTTGGCAAAGTACTAGCTAATAATCTAATCAAAATACAAATGTGTGCATTTTAAAGAAGTTTATGTATATATTAACCATAAGTAAAATAATTACAGTAGCTTGAGGGTTTTTTGCCTCCAGGTCCCTTTGCTAATTTGTACCTTCTCAATCCTATTTTATGAAAATTCTCTCCCTTGTTACTGAAAGACCCATACAAACTGGAAGAAACTGACTATATAGGGGAAATGGCAAAATTGACTGCAGAAAGTGCTGGCATGTACACAAAGTGAACTGAAAAAGAGAATGGTTTCCTCTAATCTTTCAGTAATTCTAAGGGTTACAAATAGAAAGTAAGCAGTAAAAAAAATTCCAATATGTGACTTAATGTCCTTTTAATTAGTTATCTGGAGAAGAGTCTTGCTGAATTTAATCTGATTTTTCTAGGCCTTTTTGCGGGGGGGATAGTGGAGTGAACTCCTTATCTCACACATGCACTTGAATTCAGTGAAGACAGCAAAGATGCTTATAATTATTGCATATATATATTACTGCTAAGTGAGGCAGCCTGGCCCGGAGTGATGGATATGGGGATGGAAGTTAAGGGCTCATTAGTTATCCCGACTCCACTGACTTCCTGCATTGCGATGTTGGTTTAAATCTCCATTGCTGTATGCCTCAATTTCCCCACCTGTAAGACATAGCTGGTACCTACCTGCCACTTTCATTGAGTTCTTGAGATGCTTAATTAGTTGTCTTTCCACTACTGTGAAGGTGTAAATCTCTGTATAAGTGATAAATATTGAGGTTACTGTTGATTGCCTAATCTAACCTTTGAAACTGGATTACCCCATTTGAAACACAAGAAACAGGGTTTAATGCTGATTGTCATGCAAATGTGCTAATTCAAAAAAAAAATGCTGACTGATACTTTGATTGTATAATTCAGTGACAAAAAGAAATTGGCTGTAGAAGAGACTGAAACATGAACATAGAGAAAAATTACGTATTTAAAACCAGATGCCTCAGATTAGCTTGATCTCATTTGCATTAGACAGTCTGACAATCTGTTTCAGTATTAATTCCTGTCACATTACCTAATTTTAAAATTCACCATAACCTTTTTTCCCCAAGTGTTAATGCTACTTGTAAGAAGAATATGATGAGCATTCATTTAATATAAGAAATATATTAGCAGTCAAGTGGAATATCGCATTTCAGACCAACAATTTTATGCATAATGTAATACATGAAACAAAGTACATATCAAATTAGAACAACTGAAGTGCATCTGTGCATATTATGTAGCTGATAAATGTCCACGCATGTTGATTATAATATAAACCTATAACAAAGTCTTAAAAACTGTCTTGGAGAGTGAAGCACTAAGAAGTAACTTATAATTGCTGCAATTTGCATAAACTCCCTGCTAGTATATTTTGGGCTTTGCAATTTTACAAATTACTGTGTAATTTTAAGGGAATTTTAGAGCCAGTGTGAAGAATTGGATTACAGCACCTAAGGTTTGTGTGTGTCTGATACGTATTGAAAATCAAGTTGATGACATGAAAAGAACTCCGTTTCCACGCGTTTTAAAAAAAAAAATAGAGGGTCGTATACCTAGGTGTAGTACTGGTCACATAGACCATAAACCTAAAGTCCACATCGCACTGTAAATTGATATGATTGGTTTGTGACCAAGTGGTCGGTAGACAGTAAAGGAAGTGAGGAAGGGGAGATCGAAGTTAGAGATGTTATGGGGGGTGGGGGGGGGAACTGTCCATGTTATAAGAACAGGAGGAATGTGGACTACAGGACCAACAAGTACTGCAAAGGCTGCTGCAATGAGAAAAACTGGTTCAGATTGTGCTAGTCCTATGAGTCTTGTAATTTCATGTTTGTCGAGATAAGCCTGAATGCCTTCCTGAAATCTTTTCTGGTGATCAGTTGTTGAGCTGAGAGAGCTGGTGTGCTGTGTTAGCGCTTGAGTGCTAATAGATCCATAACTCAGGTTGCTAAAGAACTTGCATTCAGGTGTGCATAACTAAATGAAATAGTCCAGGCCTATTCCCTGTCAGAGGGTGACTTTTTTTCAAAGTTTGAGTAAAAATAGTTGTGCTTATTTTTAACAAAAGCGAAAAATACTTTTTTTTTAAAGTGTAATATTTTTTAAACAGCTCTGCTGCCGAAACACCTGTGGCTAGAAAGTTGAATTTTGACAGGGAAAAAACTGTCACAGAGCAGAACTGGCTTTGTGAAAATAGATTTTTGTTTGTTTGTTTGTTTTGATTGCCAGAGTTTAGCTGGCTGCTAGTTGCAGTTGGCACATTCGAGATAGTAGAAGTGGGCTTTGTATTTCAGTTCGAAGGCACTGAAGATGGTGGTCTGATCTCTCTTGAAAGTGAGTTGATGGCATGTGGTTTTCCTGTTACCCTTATCCAGGATGAATCTCAGCAAGCTCTCCTTCGAGCTTCAGGTTTGTCTGGACACTGAAGTAAGTCAGCTGTATTCCCTGGGTCTGATGAAATGGTGGCACAGACCTGGGTGTTGAGGAATTGCAGCCCTCACCACCATAATTATATATGCTGACCAGGAGGTTGGCAGAATGGAGCTGGATAGAACCCTGTGTGAGAGGAGGAGGAGGAGGCAAGCAACTTCCTATCCTGTGCTACATCCTGAAGAAACAAATGGAGCCACTCAAGAGCTTCCTCAGGCTTGACAAAGAAAATTCCAGGTCAGTAAACCAGAGGCAGTTGCTGCTAGAGCTAAAAGAATAAGCATGGACTGCATTTGAGCATGGGAGTTCTTTACTAAATGCAGCATTGCAACATCAAGTGGAAGCATCATCATTTTCCACAGCTAGGGTTTCAGTGGCAACTACAGAGGTACTGCCATTTCTTTGATTAACATTTCTTAAATGACCAAGAAATGGCAGGATGGCTACTCTCTGGTGTTGAGAATACAGCAAACCTCTTAAAGCTTTCAGGAACTGAAAAGTTTGTGTTGGAGCTGTTCTAAGTGTGTTTTGCAATTGTGCATTGATGGTTTCAGTGTTGCTAATGTGTGATTTGGAGTTGGAGGGGAGTTCATAGAATCATAGAATATCCAGGTTGGAAGGGACCTCAGGAGGTCATCTAGTCCAACCCCCTGCTCAAAGCAGGACCAATCCCCAGACAGATTTTTACCCCAGTTCCCTAAATGGCCCCCTTAAGGATTGAACTCACAACCCTGGGTTTAGCGGGCCAATGCTCAAACCACTGAGCTATCCCTCCCGCCGAGTTCTTAATGCCTGAGCTGCTGGAATTAAGTTACTACCTGATCTTCTCAACTTTCATTTTAGAAAGTAAGATATCTAGCCCTCAGGGTAAGACAACCATGACTTTTGGGGCCTGACACATGATTTTTGAATACTTGAGGTTGATAACATCAGTTTATTTAGCATCAGTCCACCAGAAAATAATTGGACAATTGTCTGGAGCCTCATCAGCTTTTTAAAGCATTCTTTACCTCCAAATTCCATAACCTACAGAAGTAGCTAAGCATGGTCTGGACCCACCTATCTGAAGGTACTTATCACAAAAACTTTCAATAAAATTGAAAATCAGTGGGGAATTTGTTTCCTTCCATTCTAGTCCCTAACACTAAAATATTGCTGAAACACTTGAACCCAATTAAGTGATATCAATAGTGAATACTGACGTTTTCCTTGTTCTACTCTCATCCATGTCACGTTTGCACTTGATCATTTTTGTTTAAGACATCTATGTTTAATACTTTAAAAGCTAAACATTATTTCAACACCATTTGGTCTCATTGAGCTGGAACTGGCTTCCACATTTCGTATCCTTAATAGATGCTTTAAATTGTATCTGTTCTGTCTTATAGGAAAAAAAGCAAAAGAATATAAATGCTGTTCATGCAAAGAGAGAAATCAAACAAAAATGATCTCTCGCCACCATCAAAAAATCATGGCCAGGCAATGCAAGTCTGCAGAATTGCTCAGATAAAACTAGTATGGGCACAGTGCAGTCAATACAGCCCTTCATTGCTAGGTCTATCAGCCCTGTGAAATGATGAAAGCAGAACACAGGCTTATAAATAGCGGAGCTACCACAAGCGTGGTTTGGGGTGGGAGGCGGTTTGGAGCCCTATGAATAGTTTTCCACCAAAGAGGTTGTTCAATTCTGCTGAAGTTTTTGATTGAGAACATTGCAGCAGACTTGAGCATTATGTGTATTAAAATGCAGACTGAATTCTTAATTTTTAGCTAAAATATCAGGTCATTATTCCCTATGAATTAGCATTGCAAAATGGTGTTACAGTACTGTATTTTGAAACAGACTCACAGCACACATTCAGTAAGTTGTGGTTAAAGGGCTTTTGGTACAATTACATACTTACATTATATTATCATATTTTCACCATAGCACATACCCCTAAGACTATTATGAATAATGGTTGCTGTAAATATGAATTGCTATTTAAATCCTAAATTATTTTAAAGCAAAGCTTCAATGAATTGTAAATGTTACATGCGATAATGAACTTGACTGTAGTCAGTACTAGACATGGATGTCAATGTAGAATTTGATTTGATTGAATACTAAAAAAAAGGCGGGGGGGGGATTTGTCATATCCCTAGAAGCTTCTGAAAACTACTGCTTGCTTATAGCTGATGCTGCTGGCAAAGATTCGTTTCTTTTGTCATAACTGGAGGAAAAAATGGCATTATGCTGTACATTTCCAGGGAGTGGAGAGGTCTGAAAAGTATGCAGATTACACATTTCTTCCTGCAATATTTACACATTATGGGCCTGCTCATGCTCCGATTGAAGTCAATGACACATCTTCCCGTGAAATCCTGGTCCTTGTCCGAGTCAATGGCAAAACTGCCATTGCCGTCAATGGGTCCAGGGTTTCACCCTCAGTGACTTAAATGGGACAGACTCAAACCCTTGAGTAGTCCCGTTAAACTCCGTGTGAGTAGCCTGTGCCTAAGTGTTTGCAGGAGGAGGACCTTAAACTGTAGTTTTGCTTTGAGCTGCTTTGCAGTGTTACATTTAGGCTGAAATATTTTAATAAGCAGCTGGCTAATTGGATTAAAATAGTCCAAGGCAGAGCATATGCTGTGATACAGGCAGGCAGCACGTTACACTTTAAATAAATATCCCTTCCCCAATGTTATACAGTAAAAAGAGACATTGTCATGGCACGTTTTTTTTTTTAAACACTTAGATAAATCTGGTTAAACTTGAGATCAAGACATACAAATAGTCTTGAAGCTATTTAAGGGAAAATTCCTTATGCTGTTGTGTGGTGCCATATGATTCATGAGTAGCTGTTTCTACAGCCCTGCTACTCGTTGTTCTTAGCA